ATTCTGTGATTCTGTGAAAATTAAACCAAGCCTCAGCTCCCAGGCAGTACCTTTGTTCCATCATCGTGGAAAAGAAAGCAATCCTAGACAGAGAGACTGCAGGAGATATTAGGCATGTTATTAAACCCCAACACTACCCAATTCTTGTTTAAAGTGGTATTTGATTCAGAAAGCGTAAGGAAATGGGTGGGCAAAGGAGGAAGCCATTCCTAAGGTCTCCCAGGAACCAAATCAGTGTCTCCAAGCCCCAGGTTTATGAGCCCCACACTTTTCACCCCGACTCAGGGGACAGTCACTTCTAAGGCAAGGACAGATGAATGCACGGAGTCCCATCACCACAAGGAGAAGGAGGCTGGTGAAGGGAACGGTGCGAAACGGAGTAGCTGAGGGAAAGAAAAAGTCAAATTCAAATCCCGTTTAAGCCAGGGCAGAGTGAAACCACTTCATGTCCCTGGAGAACACCCAAAACACCCTGCTCCTGGTCTCCTCCCTGGAGGGAGGTCTTGTCTCCTGATGCAGAAGGGGAGTGGGAGAGGCACCAAGGGGGTGGCAAAGGCTGGAGGACTGGTAACAAATCTCTGTGTGGTTTTAAAGGGTGGCTTCCAGCAGTGGTACCACCAAGAGGCTCAGGGGGTCACACAGCATCTAAGCAGGGGTCTGAGCAATCCAACTAAACCTGTATTTTTTGATAAAGCTGGTTAAAGGGAGAAGGGAGGGAGATTTGAAGTTATATACTGACCAGGCAGGCTTTCACCATCAGTTCTGGGCTTTGGGGATTCTGGTGGACATCTTGAACCCCTTTTCCTTCACGTGATGGATGCAATGGAGAGGCTCCAACCCCGGGTGAGAAGCAGCAACACGTGGTAGGAGAGGGTGGCAATGCAGGGCTGGGTCACTGCAGGAGTCCTGCCTCTCTAGACCCTACCCAGAATATTGCTTCACCGTTTCAGTTCAGATATTTAAATAAAAAATAAAAAAATTAAGTGACAATTCAAAGGCTAAGAGCATAGTGTCATGTGCTGTTAAATCAAAATATTTCTCCTATTCCTTCACAAGTCCTCTACTTCATCTCCACTTCCACCCAAACCCCATCCAGCAAAGCATCCTGCCCTTTAAAATATCTGTATTTAACACACTTAAATACTCACGCTATTTGGCGACGATCCGCTTGGCAGGTTGTTTTTTTTTTTTTGAAGTCCAGATATCAGAAAAAAGAAAGCAAGAAATAAAACCCCTGCAGATTTGCCAATCAAAGAAGAAAAAAAAAGAAAAAAAAGAGGAAAAAAAAGAGAAAAAAAAAAGAAAAAAAAAGAGAAAAAAAAGAGGAAAAAAGAGGAAAAAAAAAGAAAAAAAGAGGAAAAAAAAGAGGAAAAAAAAAGAGGGAAAAAAAAGAGGGAAAAAAAAGAGGGAAAAAAAGAGGGAAAAAAAGAGGGGAAAAAAGAGGGGAAAAAGAGGGAAAAAAAGAGGGAAAAGAGGAAAAAAAGAAAAAGAGAAAAAAAGAGGAAAAAAGAGGAGAAAAAAGAGGAGAAAAAAGAGGAGAAAAAAGAGGAGAAAAGAGGAAAAAAAGAGAAAAAAAGAGAAAAAAAAGAAAAAAGAGAAAAAAAAGAGAAAAAAAGATTAAAAAAAGAAAAAAGAGAAAAAAAAGAGGAAAAAATGGAGAAAAAAGAAAAAAGAGGAAAAAAAGAGGAAAAAAAGAAAAAAAAGAGAAAAAAAGAGAAAAAAAAGAGAAAAAAGAGAAAAATAAAAAAAAATTTAAAAAAAAAATCAGTGGAATTATTCGCGTACAGAAAGTTACAGGAACGTGCATTTGGGAAAAGAGAAAAAAAGAGAAAAAAGAGAGAAAAAAGAGAGAAAAAAGAGAAAAAAGAGAAAAGAGAGAAAAAAGAGAGAAAAAAAGAGAAAAAAAGAGAAAAAAAAGAGAAAAAAGAGAGAAAAAAAGAGAAAAAAAGAGAAAAAAAGAGAAAAAAAGAGGAAAAAAAAGAGGAAAAAAAGAGGAAAAAAAGAGGAAAAAAGATTAAAAAGAGAAAAAAAGAGAAAAAAAGAAAGAGAAAAAAAAAAGAGAAAAAAAAAGAGAAAAAAAAGAGAAAAAAAAAAAGAGAAAAAAAAAGAGAGAAAAAAAAAGAGAAAAAAAAGGACACTATCACTTCCCACACAATCCGAACACCACGGGAGGAGAAGATGTGTTTGCACATTATAAAAATCTTGAGAGACCAGCCCTGCAGGGGCCTAAAGCCCTCTGTGCTCAAGGCAGTGTCACACAGTTGTGCCTACACTAATACGCTTTGCAGATTTAGGAGTAAGTGAAGCTGGACTCTGGTGTGCAGCAGACTCACGAGGTCATTAGGAAAACAGTGCAGACATCTGCACTTAACTAAAAAAAAAAAAAATAATAAAAAAAAATCAGTGGAATTATTCACGTACAGAAAGTTACAGGAACGTGCATTTGGGAGGAAACAGGTACTTAAACTAATCCTTTCCAAATGAACATATGCAATAAAAATGGAATTAACACCTGTGCAGATAAAGTACTTCTGCTGCCTTACACGGTGATGCTCGTAGTGCATTTTCACTTGCTCCTAAATAAGATTCCTGATAGCTCTGAAAACATGACATCATATCATCTCGTGGCACTGCTTGTAGATAAATTTCCCCTGTTAATAATGAACACGTAGATCATTTTCCCATGTTAATAATGAATTCTGACCTACAGGAGTTCAAAACGTTTTTTTTCCAGGGGGCAAAAGAAGTATCTAATACCCATTTTTCATGATAACATGTTCCAAAGTGGAAACCAGGAGAAGAAGGAGACACAGAGAGAACAGGCTCAGAAATTGTCCTCAATGGGTCGGGGAGGGAAAAGGGAGTGTGAAGACCCGGTAAGTGAGTTAACAGGAGCTCACATAGAAACAAACAAGTTATTTTAATAGCTCTGCAACTTGAGCATTCAAATGAATATAATCTTGTCCGGGGTAATATCAGCATCTAAAGATCAATGCAATAACGGGATTTTATACAATTTTTAGGCATCTGGTCCCTAAACATTTTATATCTAAACAAGGCATAATTTAGTTTTTCTCCTCTATTTTGAATGTCAGTCAGTCCAAGGCTTTTTGTTGTTTTGGTTTTTTTTTTAATTCCTCTTCTTCACCTTCTTGAAGACAGGTTTATACTAAGAACCATCCTCCGGATTTTTTCTTCATTCTTTAAAATATTAGCTTTTACAGCACAGATCTTGTCTTGCTGGTCTTTAATCAACTGTTCCAGTTCAGCCAGATCAGCTTTTAAGGGTTCTACAGCGCTGTCTGTGATGCTGAAAGAGACACAAAGAGCCTAATGTTATTGGAAACATTATGCTGCTTCTGCCTCCAAGAAAGTACATTCAATACCTGAAGGTCTGCAAAGAATTTCAATTGTGCCCACCCTTCCTGAGAGAAAGTTTAGAATAAGAAGCACAAAGGCATCACCAACAACATGGATGGAGAACAACAGTGTTCAAGAGAGATCACCCACAACTCAAGAGTAACCAGTCACTTCTTGGCTAATCTAGTTTTTCTGATAAAATCTCTTTGCTTTGCAGTTATTTTACCCCACACTGTGTCAAGCACTTCTTTCACAGCCAAAAAGCTGCAACCATGCAGCCCAGGGATGAAGCAGCACCTCACTCCAGGAGACAAAACACAACCAGGACTGGAGAAGCTGTGGATGCTCAAGTTTTGGAAGTATTCTAAGTTAGGTTGGACAGAGCTTCAGACAACCTCATCTAGTGAAAGATGTCCCCATCCATGGCAACGGGGTTGGACTAGGTGATCTTTAAAGGTCCCTTCCAACCCAAACCTTTGCATTACCTGGACTTCCAAAAAGCATTTGATACGGTCCCTCACACAAATCTAGTGGAAAAACTGGCTTCACACAGAGTGGATGAGCACACGAGCTGCTGGATCAAGCACTGGCTGACTGGAAGGTCCCAAAGAGTTGTGCTCAATGGATGTACGTCCAGCTGGCGGCCGGTCACAAGTGGTGTGCCTCAGGGCTCAGTGTTGGGACCATTTCTATTTAACGTCTTTATTGATGATCTCGATAAGGACATAGGGTGTATCATCAGCAAGTTTGGAAAAAAGATTAAAAAGAGAAAAAAAGAGAAAAAAAGAAAGAGAAAAAAAAAGAGAAAAAAAAAGAGAAAAAAAAGAGAAAAAAAAAAAGAGAAAAAAAAAGAGAGAAAAAAAAAGAGAAAAAAAAGGACACTATCACTTCCCACACAATCCGAACACCACGGGAGGAGAAGATGTGTTTGCACATTACAAAAATCTTGAGAGACCAGCCCTGCAGGGGCCTAAAGCCCTCTGTGCTCAAGGCAGTGTCACACAGTTGTGCCTACACTAATACGCTTTGCAGATTTAGGAGTAAGTGAAGCTGGACTCTGGTGTGCAGCAGACTCACGAGGTCATTAGGAAAACAGTGCAGACATCTGCACTTAACTAAAAAAAAAAAAAATAATAAAAAAAAATCAGTGGAATTATTCACGTACAGAAAGTTACAGGAACGTGCATTTGGGAGGAAACAGGTACTTAAACTAATCCTTTCCAAATGAACATATGCAATAAAAATGGAATTAACACCTGTGCAGATAAAGTACTTCTGCTGCCTTACACGGTGATGCTCGTAGTGCATTTTCACTTGCTCCTAAATAAGATTCCTGATAGCTCTGAAAACATGACATCATATCATCTCGTGGCACTGCTTGTAGATAAATTTCCCCTGTTAATAATGAACACGTAGATCATTTTCCCATGTTAATAATGAATTCTGACCTACAGGAGTTCAAAACGTTTTTTTTCCAGGGGGCAAAAGAAGTATCTAATACCCATTTTTCATGATAACATGTTCCAAAGTGGAAACCAGGAGAAGAAGGAGACACAGAGAGAACAGGCTCAGAAATTGTCCTCAATGGGTCGGGGAGGGAAAAGGGAGTGTGAAGACCCGGTAAGTGAGTTAACAGGAGCTCACATAGAAACAAACAAGTTATTTTAATAGCTCTGCAACTTGAGCATTCAAATGAATATAATCTTGTCCGGGGTAATATCAGCATCTAAAGATCAATGCAATAACGGGATTTTATACAATTTTTAGGCATCTGGTCCCTAAACATTTTATATCTAAACAAGGCATAATTTAGTTTTTTTCCTCTATTTTGAATGTCAGTCAGTCCAAGGCTTTTTGTTGTTTTGGTTTTTTTTTTAATTCCTCTTCTTCACCTGTTGGTTTTTTTTTTAATTCCTCTTCTTCACCTTCTTGAAGACAGGTTTATACTAAGAACCATCCTCCGGATTTTTTCTTCATTCTTTAAAATATTAGCTTTTACAGCACAGATCTTGTCTTGCTGGTCTTTAATCAACTGTTCCAGTTCAGCCAGATCAGCTTTTAAGGGTTCTACAGCGCTGTCTGTGATGCTGAAAGAGACACAAAGAGCCTAATGTTATTGGAAACATTATGCTGCTTCTGCCTCCAAGAAAGTACATTCAATACCTGAAGGTCTGCAAAGAATTTCAATTGTGCCCACCCTTCCTGAGAGAAAGTTTAGAATAAGAAGCACAAAGGCATCACCAACAACATGGATGGAGAACAACAGTGTTCAAGAGAGATCACCCACAACTCAAGAGTAACCAGTCACTTCTTGGCTAATCTAGTTTTTCTGATAAAATCTCTTTGCTTTGCAGTTATTTTACCCCACACTGTGTCAAGCACTTCTTTCACAGCCAAAAAGCTGCAACCATGCAGCCCAGGGATGAAGCAGCACCTCACTCCAGGAGACAAAACACAACCAGGACTGGAGAAGCTGTGGATGCTCAAGTTTTGGAAGTATTCTAAGTTAGGTTGGACAGAGCTTCAGACAACCTCATCTAGTGAAAGATGTCCCCATCCATGGCAACGGGGTTGGACTAGGTGATCTTTAAAGGTCCCTTCCAACCCAAACCTTTGCATTACCTGGACTTCCAAAAAGCATTTGATACGGTCCCTCACACAAATCTAGTGGAAAAACTGGCTTCACACAGAGTGGATGAGCACACAATCTGCTGGATCAAGCACTGGCTGACTGGAAGGTCCCAAAGAGTTGTGCTCAATGGATGTACGTCCAGCTGGCGGCCGGTCACAAGTGGTGTGCCTCAGGGCTCAGTGTTGGGACCATTTCTATTTAACGTCTTTATTGATGATCTCGATAAGGACATAGGGTGTATCATCAGCAAGTTTGCAGATGACACCAAGTTAAGCAGGAGTGTTGACTCCCAGGAGGACAGGGAAGCTTTGCAAGAGGATCTAGATAGATTGGATCACTGGGCCAATGCCAATGGAATGAGTTTCAACAAGGGCAAGTGCCAGGTCCTGCACTTGGGCCACACCAACCCGCTGCAGCGCTACAGGCTGGGGGAAGTGTGGCTAGGGCTGCCTGGAGGAAAGAGACCTGG